GAGTGTCACCCCTCCCCCCCCCCAGTTCATCTATGACAAATGTGAATCTATATATTAAATAAATACACGATATCAGATAGAATATATTATAGTTTTATCATGTATTTTATTATTCACTGTACAGATGAAGGATTCCCAGAGCACTGTGGGTGAATAAATAAAAGTCAGCTCAAGACAAAGCCTGAATACTGATTTATTGAACACAGAGATTTGTAGAGTCACGCAAGCTTGGGGCACACTGCTGGACCTGGTGGTTTGGGGAAAAGGGGGGTTGTAAGAGTAAAAACACCAACCAAGTGCCCTGTTTTTTAAGCCTGTAGGAACCTTTCAGCTATTAGGGGTTGAATAGTTTCCACTGCTGATTACCCAGCAATGCTAAAAAGAACATATTTCTAATAGCAGTCTACTATACTCCCTGCTGTTCCTCTCCCCCTTCCATCTAAATGTGGTTATGCAGATTGACCACTAGGTGGCGCTGACGCTCAGATGTCGCTGTACGTGCACTTCGCACACTTTACCAGCAGGTGGAGCTGTAGTTCTCAATCTCCGCCGCTGGATGTCGCGGTGTTCTGTCAAAAGCCAGGTTTCCGCTCGTAATGTGTACGGTGCAGGATTAGTGCCCCCGGGGTTGGTGGTGGTAGGTGATATCACCCGGGGTGACGATTCCCCGTACACGGAGCTGTACAGACCCCCAGAACCCCCTTTCACCGTGAGCGGAGAGGAAGTCACGTGACCGGTGAGTGGCTACGAACAGTGTCAGAAGAGGAGCAGGTGGGGGAAGTCACGTGAGTGCGGAGTGGATACAATGTATCAGTGTGTATACAATATAACGTGATGCCCCGACTGTGGTTGTGTGATCACGTGGTGCCCCGACTGTGGTTGTGTGATCACGTGGTGCTCCGACTGTGGTTGCATGATCATGTTAAAGGTTGGACCCTCTGTCAAGGTTTTTATTGCTGTGTCCCCATTGGGGAGGGTCACCCCTCTGTTTGTCCCGATGAACACTGTTACTGTGTATACATTGCAGATAGAAGTGAGCCTTGTCCAGGTCTGTGTGACAGTAGGAGAGGTCCTACCCAGTGGCGTCAGAAGGGGGGTGTGTCCAGCACTCGGGTGCCAGTGTTGGGGGGGTGGGGTGACACCAAAATGTGACTGTCATTTTGGTGTCACCCCCTATGAAAAATCTGGCACTCGGTCATGTACCGAGAGCCTGACAGTGTCATGAGAGAGGAGGGGACCCGGCGACATACCTCATCCCGCCGTGTGAACGTCCCCTCCCCACCTCTCTCTGCCGGTGATGTGTCGAAAGTGCGAACTTATCGAGTTGTGGGACCGCATTACTTCCGGTTTCCTCAGAACTACGAACCAGCACACGTATGACCCACACCTACTAGAATTGGACTCCTAAGGTCCATGGCACCGGCGACAGGATCATTACCAGATCACTTACCTCAGGGGTAGGAAAACTTGGCACCCCAACTGCTGTGGAACTACAAGTCGCGTGAGGCATTATAAAGCCACAAGCATGACTCCCAGAGCAGAGGCATGATGGGATTTGTTGTTTCATCATAGCTGGAATGCCAAGGTTGCCTACCCCTGACTTCCCTTCTCCTATGGAGTTGCTTCAGGCCAGTGAGGGAACATTTCCATTGGGGTAAGAGGAAGCCTCCTGTATGCGATTCTGCTGCTGGCAGTGAGTCCCCGACGGGACAATGTGGCCTGGACCTCAATCCCTGGAGGGCCCTGCCATGGAGCTCCACTGCTCCTGTATGACTATAATCTGGGGGGGGTGGGGGGTGGGGGGTGAGGAGATCTGCACATGTCGGATCAGGTTTTGGGCAGGTTGTCCTCCATTGTTGGAAGCAGGCCCGGATTCCCCACGAGGCCAGGCCTCTGGGCGCAGATGGGCGGCAGCGGCGTGAAGTCCCCCCGTTACGGGCGCCGGGCGGTAAGTTGCCTTACATTTAGTCCTGCTTTGGGAAGGCGGGACTAAGTGTAGTGTGGGGAATCCGCTCGCTCGTTAATAAGTGATCGTGGCCATGTCGCCGCAATCACCTGTAAAATGTGTGCTGCCGTCTGTCCGCGCTGTGCCGGAACTCCTGCATTGGAGGTGACGGCGTCAATAAAGAAAACCTGTCACCTCCAATTGCTATGACACAGAGGATTGTTTTCTCCTGTGTGATCGCAATAAAGTTAAGTGGAAAAAAATAATAAACAAATAAATACAAATTTAAAAAAATAATAAGAAATAATTATTAAATAAAAAAAGTCATTAAAAAGTAAAAAAAATAAGAAAATAATTATAAAAAATAAACAATAATAAGATAGAAAATTATAACAAATAAAAAAAAAAGTAAACGACAAGCTAAAAATGTAAAAAAGTAAGAAAAAATAAAGAAACAGAAAAAATTAGAACTAACCCTGCCGCCCTGCCATCTGGTTGCCATTCTCCGTTGATTTGGGGGGGAGGTTCGGTTGGCGGGTAGGGGGCGCATTGTGGAACCTGGCCTTGGGGCGGCAGGGAGAGCAAGTCCGGCCCTGGTTGGAAGATACAATGAGTGGAATCTATCAAACCCTGAGCAGACATAATGTGGCGCAGTCGCCCATGGCAACCAATCGGCTTCTCTCTTCAGTTTGTTTAGGTCAGATTTGAAAATGAAAGAGAGAAGCTGATTGGTTGCCATGGCCAGCTGCTCCAGATTTGATAACTTCCCCCCAATATTATTGTTTGCCTTGTGTATAGAATGTTGCTCTCTCTGACCAGTACTCCTTCTGCTCTCAGGGCGCCGCAATGGTGTACGGCTTTGTCATCCACACGGTGGGGGCCGCGCCAGGCGAGGGCCCAGAGCTGTGCCGGGTCCTCTACTATCACTGGTTCGGCTGCGGCCTCCTGGACGAGAAGCTGAGGATGGACGAGGTGGCTTTGGAGAAGGACCGAGCCAGGAGGATGGATCAGATCGCCGTGGTGGCCAGGTGAGGTGGTTGTGATGTCCTGCAGGCTGGGCAACAACAAAATGGCCGTCGAGGAGATCCAGGACCTGTGATTAAATACACGGCGTCCGCAGCTCGCCTCACGGAAAGTCTTCCTGACCCTCCCAGCTTTGGTACTTCTGAGTCGCTGGTCTGAGACATGAATGCAGAAAGTCGAAGTGTTGTCAGGACTTCTTATATACAGATCAGTTACTCAGCATTGTGGGCGGTGGATCGGCATGACTGCCAGTCAACCAGCGTTTCCAGAAAGAGGGGTCAGCACTGGCAGGTCCCCTTTAAAGTTCAGCTACAAGTTTATATCTACTTTTGGGGAAAAGGGGGGGGCTGTTCATAATGTACACCCCAAAAAGAAATGTCTTTAAGGATCAGTCCGCCCAGAACTGATATCCATGTTTGGGGGATTTTGGAGGGTCCAAACATCTGACAGTCTGATCTTCTTCTCTGGTCTGCAGACTTACTGTGCCCAATACGAGGGGTTCCATCCATCTCCATGAGCACAGCCAAGCGGAGTATGAGGAGGAGAGGACAGCGCGGTCTGCTCTCTGATATAAGCATGCCCCAAAGTGTAGAAGCCAACGGATCACTAAGGGCCGGGCAACCATCATTGTCATTGGAAGACTCCATCTTTCTTTCCTTTAACTGCAGGAAGAGGAAACATCTTACTTAGGAATCTATGAGCAGGGTCGGACTTACTCTCTCTCTACTGCCACAAGGCCAGGTTCCCCAATGCCT